ATTCAGGTAGATTTCCTCCAAAACTCTGGAAGGGTAATTATAGGAGGTGATTGGGAAAATCCTGGAAGACGCCCTCTTCTGAGCTGGCAGGTCATGTAATGGTTGTTACATGACCTTTTAGTGTAAATTGCGGTAAAGAACAGCAGATGGGCTGTGCGTGGGCTGTGTGGGTTCCCAGAAGGCTGTGGAGGGTCTCAGGAGGGCTGTGCGAGGTCTCAGGTGGCTGTGCACCATCTCAGGTGGGCTGTGTGGAGTCTCAGGTGGACTGTTCGGGCTCTCCGCTGGGCTTTGCGGGCTCTAAAGTGGGCTGTGCAGGGTTTCAGGAGGACTGTGCCAAGTCTCAGATAGACTGTGTGGGGTCTCAGGAGGCTGTGCGGGCTCTCCAGTGGGCTCTGCGGCCTCTCAGGTGGCTGTGCAAGGTCCTATGAGGGTTGCGTGAGCTCTCAGGTGGGCTGTGTGGGGAGTCACATGGTGCAGGAGTTCAAGTTAGGAGGATCTCAAACTAAGGAGATAAATCTGAAAAATACATTCAATTCCCCGAACTAATAACAACAATGTATCTTTGTTGTGTATCACTCTGTTGCCGTGTCAGATTCCTCGCATCACCTTTCAACATCTCGTGGAGTCACCAGGCGGCCCAAACAAGTACTGATGGGGGGGGGTCATAATAATCTGGCCACTCGGTGTAGATCCTCAAAGCATCTCTGAATTGGTGCTGACACTGTCCTTCCTTCTGGACGGTGGCTACTTTTGTTTTGCTCGGCTATGGTTGAGGTGCAATAATGTTCCGTGTATGTGCACATTTCGTGAACGTGCGTCAAAGTGCACCCTTGATAGCGCGTTTGACGCGTGTTCATGAGACGCCCATGTTTTGAACAGGGACTTAGGGGAGTTTTTTTTACCCTTTACAATTAGAAAGTATTAAAGGAGAACTATGGGGTCGGTGTTTTCCCCCATAGTTCTTCTACGGGTCACAGGAGGACATTACTAACCTCCTCCCGTGACCCAAAGCTCAGTATATCGCGGTATACTGAGACCGCCACAGCCGGGTACGGATGCGCTGGAGGATCGGACAGGGGAGGGGGTGAATCCCTGCGGGGAGCCGTGACTGACAGTCACTGCTCTCTGTAGGGAGATGATCGAGAAGTGAGCGAGCGACGATATGCGTTTGCTCACTTCCCTATCTATTGAGCCGATGTGTGACAGTTTCATTGTCACATGTCGGCTCGAACTATGAGGAGGTGTGATTTTAACTCACCTCATAGTTCTCCTTTTTAAGGGCTTGTCACACCATATACAGTGTGCTCCAAGGCGGTTAGCTGCTGGAACGCACTGTATTCCATCCCAGGCCGGCTTCCTGCGTTCAGGGGCTGGAGGGAGCGTGGTGGGTCCCGATCACCTGCACCAGAACGCGTGGCACATCAATGCCTGCGTTCCGGTCCAGTGCGATCAGAAGAAAATATTGCTCGCAGCACCTATAAGCAGCGTATGATTGTATTATCAGTAAAGCGCGCAGTCTCCGTTCACACACAGCACTTTGAAAAGCAGCGTATTGGTCCGCGTGGCACGGAAACGCGCACATTTTAACATAGGCGCTGATTTGGCTCGTTTGCGGCTACTACTATAATCTGCCCAGAATATCGTGCTTGGACTTTTTGCGCGATGCGTACTGCCGCGTGGAAGTCATGCAGGTGTGAGCAAGGTATATTGGAAAATATCAGCTGTTGTGCTTTGCGCGGTTCAGAAAGTACGAATACGGGCAGGAAAACGCTAATGTGCGAATGGAGCCTGCATGTGGGGACTGGGGTGGGTAAGCGCAGGCAGTGCGGGGTGAAGCGGGGTGGGACGAGTGACTCTGAGCGAGCAAAGTGAAACCAGAAGAGTGATGCAAACTGAATAAGAGGAATGAAGCTGAGTGATATGGATGATGCTGGGTGAGTGAGTAGAGTAAAGCTGAGTGATATGAATGATGGGTGAGTAGAGGGAAGCTGAATGAAATGGATGGTGGTGGGTGAGTAGAGTGAAGCTGAGTTATATGGATTACGCTGGGTGAGTATGGGAAGCTGAGTGATATGGATGGTGCTGAGTGATATTAATGATGCTGGGTGAGTAGAGTAAAGCTGAGTGATATGAATGATGCTGAGTGAGTTGAGTGAAGCTGAGTGATATGAATGATGCTGAGTGAGTTGAGTGAAGCTGAGTGATATGAATGATGCTGAGTGATATGAATGATGCTGAGTGAGTTGAGTGAAGCTGAGTGTTATGGATGATGCTGAGTGATATGAATGATGCTGAGTGATATGAATGATGCTGAGTGAGTTGAGTGAAGCTGAGTGATATGAATGATGCTGAGTGATATGAATGATGCTGAGTGAGTTGAGTGAAGCTGAGTGTTATGGATGATGCTGGGTGAGTAGAGTAAAGCTGAGTGATATGAATGATGCTGGGTGAGTAGAGTAAAGCTGAGTGATATGGATGGTGCTGAGTGATATGAATGATGCTGGGTGAGTAGAGTAAAGCTGAGTGATATGAATGATGCTGAGTGAGTTGAGTGAAGCTGAGTGATATGAATGATGCTGAGTGATATGAATGATGCTGGGTGAGTAGAGTAAAGCTGAGTGATATGAATGATGCTGGGTGAGTAGAGTAAAGCTGAGTGATATGAATGATGCTGGGTGAGTAGAGTAAAGCTGAGTGATATGAATGATGCTGGGTGAGTAGAGTAAAGCTGAGTGATATGAATGCTGCTGGGGGAATAGAGTGAGATGAATGATGTTGGGTGAGGAGAGTAAAGCTGAGTAAAGGGGGGTGCGGGGGTCCCCCCTCCTCATGGCCTCCCCCCACCCCTGTGCCGTGTTGCGGTCTGCAGCAGCCGGAGGAATGCGCTGCGCCCCTCCCAGCCCTCCGCTCTCTATTTCGGTGCCTCTCCCCCCTCCTGCCCCCTCAGTGCCGAGCCCATGACGTAATGGTTTATGTTAATTATTAGCATGTGGGAAGCCGGGGCTGGAGCTTCCCAGCCTCAGTCTGAGCGAGTGAAGGAGGACAGATGCTGCGACTCAGCATGGCAGAGCCCGGGCGGCCGGAGCGAGCCTAGGACTGCCGGCATGCCATGACTGCTGCTGCGCTACTGCAGGTGGGTGCTGCACTGGGGAGGTGGGTGACTGCATCACTGGGGACAGCTGGCTGCAGGTAAGTGCTTCACACAGGGAGGAGTGAGGAGGCACTGCAGTGCTGTGTTATGGGGGGGGGGATGTGTGATTAGAGAGGATAGGGGTAACTGTTGGACTATGTACTCTCTGCTACAGGTACCGTAGGTAAACAGTGAGGGCAACTGAGGGTCCCTGCAATACTACTACGGATAGGTGAGCATTGGGAGAGAATAGGGGTCCCTGCAATACTACTACGGGTAGGTGAGCATTGGGAGAGACTAGGGGTCCCTGCCATAATGTTACATGTGAGTGACAAGTTGGAGAGGCTATGGGTCCCTGCAATACTGTGCTACATGTAGGTGAGCATTGGGAGATACTAGGGGCCCCTGCCTTACTGCTACAGGTAGGGTAAGCAGTGGAAAGGAAACTGCAATACGGTCTACAGGGGAGGTTTTAACAGCAGAGAAGGAAGGGGTGTCACTGCAGTGAGGTCCACCAACTGCTGTGGGTAGGTACTTGCTGGAAGAGTCAGCAGAAGGGATCCTAGAAGGATTTCCTGCAATACTATGTACTGGCTGCAGCAGGTCCTCCAGCATGCGATTAGACTCTAGAGGAAGCTGCAGCCCTGCATGCTGGCACTGCTGTGTATGGAGCTGCATTCCTATGTACTGGTTGCTACAGGTAGCAGTGTGTGCACCCCCCGGGGAAGGGGCGCTCTGAGTACAGTCCGAGACTTTTATGGGTAGGGGAACACTGCAGTCCTATGTACTAACTGTACACTTTGTTGACTTTTCCCACTTCAATGCAGACAGTTTGTACTCTCTGCCTGTGTGGCTGTAGAATTCCAAAATCTGCTTTTGTTAATAGCTCGGGTTCCCCGACGTTTCCACGACCGATTTCATTCACGGATCAATTCCCACTGCCGCCCTCGTTATTAATCTCCCGGGCTATCGGAAGGAGTCGGCGGTTTTTACACGCTCGCCGTTTTTGACCGCTGAGCTGCAGCAGAGAATCTCGAGATTGTCAATTAGGTGTAATCTGTTGCGCTGCCTCCTGATTCCCCCGGGGGGGCGAGCGACGGATCCGTCCGGGGTAGCCAGTGGCATGCGGGGAAAATCCAATGGGAGCCCCCCCTTTTTGCAGTCATCCGGGGGGGGGGAGCATCTCCATTAAACACTCCATTCATTAATGAGGCTCCCTAATGCCCTAGGTGGTCCGCCTGCGATTTTTGTTTGCCCGAGAATCCTTTTCCTGGATGGATAGAGGAAGTGGGGTGATCTGTATCCCCTAATGAATGCTACAATGTGTCCAATTTTTGCAGCTGTGGGGGATTAAATAGTTAATTGCTGCACCTCACATTTTTTTTCTCTCACCCCTCTGATGTCATGGACCCCTTTTTGTACGGGTGCAAGTTTTAACTTGCAGCATCTAAACCTGACCCCCCTCCCTCGGGCGACCCTTGTCCTTATTCAGGCAGCCGTTGCGTTGTCACGGCTTTTTTTTTTTCCTTTCTCGCGGACCGCATGTGTCACATCAATTCTTTTTTTTTCTTCTTGCAGTTGTGAGCATCGCCTTGGAATGCGGGTGTGGAGGGTCCGAGAAGGAACCCGAGGGGACAGCGGATCTGGAAGAATCGAATCCGCGCACGGAGCAGAGAATATCTAGCGTGGAGAAGTATGCTCGAGGCGGAACGGAGATCTATATATAAATCCTCGCCACTGCAGATTTAATTCAGCAGCCCCGGGAAAGGGGAGGTGGCGACGGTGGTGGTGGGGGAAGCCGTGGAAAGAGAAACGTAAATTTACGGAAGGATAAAAGGAAACAAATCGTCCGTCCCCCCCAAACTTTCCCCGTGGAATCCGGCGACCGCTTCGCAGAATCATGATGTTTCGGGATCAAGTGGGAATGCTTTCGGGATGGTTTAAAGGCTGGAACGAATGCGAACAGACTGTTGCTTTGCTCTCCCTCCTGAAAAGGGTGAGCCGGACCCAAGCCAGGTTCCTGCAGATCTGCCTGGAGCACTCGCTGATTGATTGCACGGAACTGCACATACTTGAAGGGGAGGCCAACAATCCCGGTGAGTTTTTGGTGTCCAAACGTTTTTTTTTTTCTTTGTAACTCTGTAACCTTTCCTGCAGGTTGACCTCGGGTTGTGAAACTGATAAAACGATAAGGAAAGGGGCGCGGGTGAACCCCCTTCGAATCCCGTGTTGCACGTCCGCGTCACTGCCACAGCAGCCTGGGAGTTGAGATGATGGCGGCTATTGCCTGGAGCTTCTCACGCGGGTGTTTTTGTTTTGTGACAGATCCCAGTCCTTACTCTTCAACATCCATACAAGCGTTAGAGAGCCCCTGCGAGAGCTAGAGAGCCCCTGCGAGAGCTACACAGTCCATGCGAGAGCTTGCTCGTAGCAAGCAGTCAGATTTTTTTTTCCTGTTTGCGTCACGCGTCGTGCTTGGGCTGGCCAAAGGTTTTTCAAATGCTGATGAAATCACTTAGAATGGACGCTGCTCCCTGATGTTTATACATTTTTAGCTTCCTGCAGAAGCAGCTGGTCCCCTGAGCGCTGGTCCTGATATCCTGTTTTAGGGAGGTTCCTTTCCCTTGCGGGGTCCTATGGAGTCACCCTTTTGTTTGCTAGTAAGCTGTGTGGCTCCTTTCCCTTGCAGGGTGTTATGGAGCCACCATTGTGCCTGCTAGTAAGCTGTGTGTGGCTCCATTAACACACAGGCATGGCAAGGCACGGCACTTCCTCCCCCCCACCCCTCTTCTCCTTCCTTCTTCAAGCTAGTAGATGGACAGTTCTTATACTGGACAGGAAGTTCAGGGAAGCAGAGAGAGATGGAACTGTCTGGAAACATGATGACTGTGAGTGCTTGGTAAAGAGATACCTTTGCTGGGTGATTGTTCAGGATTCATTATTAAAAGTCTGCGTGTTTTTATGCTACTTTAAGGTGGGGTTCACACTGTTGTGCTGCAGTAACACACGCGTGTTGTACTGCATGTCAATGTGTGTTGTGTTCATTGGGATGGGCCACAAGTGCATGTATCTTTTTTTAATTTTGTAACGGTACAACTCAACGCATGGTAGTGTTAACAGGAAATGTTCTGCAATGCACGTCCATTGCCGCAGGGGGGGCGCAGGGGTGCCATTAAGAATGAACAGCACAGCAGTGCACCAAGTGCCCCTTTTTGTGCATTACAGTAACACGTGATGACGCGTGTGCGTTGCCAATGTGCTCCTTTTTAATGTTAAGCATCATTTGAATGGGCTCTCAATCAGGGGCGTCCTGTTGTGAAGTCATTGTGCGCAGTCATCTTATGGACGCCTGCCGGCGGCCATGTTGGTGATGGACGCCGGCAGAGAGAGGAGTGGACGTTTACCCGGCGGGATGAGGTATGCCGCCGGGTTCCCTCCTCTCTCCTGACACTGTCGGGCTCTCTGTTCATGACCAAGTGCCCAACTTTTCAGTCATTTTGGTGACCCCCCCCCACCCCCACCCCCCCAAAGGTGGCACCCAGGCGACGCCACTGCTCTCAATGCACAAGGGCGGACTATGCACTATTTTTCTTCCAGCACTGCGGGAACGCATTGTGGTGCGCTACTTTGCCACAAAAGCCGCAACATACGCGCGTGTGTACTACGGTAGTGCAACACATGGGGGTAAATATGGCCTTCATGATGAGACCTGCGTCTTAAGTGATTGGGAGTGATGCATTTAGCGCTGCGGGTAGTGTGTACAGCGATGTGCGATCGGGGAGGATGCTGATCTCTCGGCCTGAATTGAACCCGCGTATCACGAGCTGCGAGTGTAGCTTGTCCCCCGACTGGAATGCAGATAAGCGCGCACGCTTCAACGGGCCCTCGTTTTACATTCTAGTAAGGGCATTGGAAGCGAGTTTGTGATTACCGTAGAAGGTTTTTTTTTTTTCCCCTCAGCACTGCGCTAAGGTGACATTGACATAAGATAACGCTTTTAAGGAACGTGTCAATTCGAGTCCATGTTTCAGTTCATCTTAGAAGGATCGTATAAAGGGATAATGAAGAGGCCGGATCTACGGATCAACATGGATAAAGTGAGAGATGAGGAAGATATAGTGCTTAGGCCTATGTCACACTAATGATCCTGTTGCTGGTGGAAACTCTCCAGGATTGCTAGGAGAGCAAGAAAAACTCCTGAATGGTCAGCAGTATATGTGGGCCTGCCTTGCCTGATTGGTCCAGAGTATATCTGGCCCGCCTTGCCTCATTGGGCAGCAGTATAGGTGGCTTCTATGGTATTGCTCCTGCACTGACTGACCCAGTGAGGCATCACCCTGCCACTGCAGTGTTTTAGTAAACCAGGGAACAACGCTGTACAAGCAGTTAAGTCAATGGTTGTTGGCCTATGAGGTAGAGCGCCTCAACTGCGGCCTTTGACATCACCAAAGAACCGCACGGTTCAATATTTGCAGTGCAACAGAGGACTGCCAGACCAAAGACATCCAAGAGGAAATGATGGTCAGAGATGGAGGACCTGCTACAGGTTTGATTGAAGACCTGTTGTAGAAGAGTGCGAGGCCGGAGACCTGTTGTAGAAGAGCGCGAGGCCGGAGACCCGCTGTAGAAGAGCGCGAGGCCGGAGACCCGCTGTAGAAGAGCGCGAGGCCGGAGACATGTTACATAATGATAGTAGAGACCCCTGCTATGACTCCTTTTTAGAAATCGGTGTTCCCAGCCAGGGGCTGCACAAGTACCAAAGGGCCACATGTAGGCCTTGGTTTTAGGTTGGGCTCCAGCTAAGTAAATGTTCTCTATTGCGCTTCTTTTTCTGGCTACCAGTGGTCTGCCATGGGCTTCATTTTGGTGTTTTCTTTGGCCTCTAATGCTGGACGGTTACTAAAATTTTGAAGTTCCGTTTGCTGTGCCGATTTTTGAGCCTTTACCTAGAGTTCTTACTGTTACTAATGACACTTTATGATGTACAGTATGTTGTATAAATATACCCCCCTCCCCCC